ATCTCCTTGACGGCGAGGAACCATTTGGCAATTTAACCCCCCATACAAACGTAAAGTCTCTGACCAGAACTGTAATTTATATGCAAATGTCAAAAGGCTAAAAGGGTCTCTTAAGCCATAAATCCCCAAAGATCATGCATGATTCTACGCAGACGCTACAGCAAATCAAGTCATTGTTGCCTTTGGCTGCCCGCTCTCCAGGCATTCAGGCATATGATTTCTGCAAGAGCAATGTGAAGCATTTATATGTTTTAGCTCTTCCTCCCTCAAAGATCTGAATGCATTAAAGGAAGACATTCAGTGCAGTTTTGGTGAGCACTGAAAAGTTGCATAAGGATTACAAATCTTCTTTTAGAATAAACTGTTAGAAGTTGGACCTGAATCTAAATCTTGCTTCATTACCTTGGTCACCATTCATTTTCATTGTGTGTAAGAGAGGCAGACATTCTGCTTTATCATGTCTTTTGTGTTTTACAAAAGAAAGAAAATCATAAAGAAAAACAATAGTGAATAAATGACAGAAATGTTATTTTTGCATGAACTGTCCCTTTAAGAAAGAATGTGCTTGATTAATCTGTCAAAAACATTTGTGTTTATTTTCCATCAAAATGGATCTCGCTCCAACTCTCAAACACCGTTTTTTCAGCTGATGTCAACAGTGACTTTTACTTTTCTTAACCCCTCCCCTTAAACTATTTATTTATTTAAAAAACAAACAATCTAGATGATTTAAGTTTAACAGCTAGTCGATTAGTCAACCATTGTGACCAATGCCTACATATTACAGGCTAGGTTTAACACGCAATTCTCAATTTTGTACCATACATAACAGGGGTTCCTGCTCCATCCCTCTATCCCCCAAGAGCTCCTTGACCTGAAAAGGGTATAAAATTGTCTAAAGGAACAAAAGAAATGTGTATTAAGGGAAATAGAGACAGTTTATCAACAGACCATCAGCAGAAGTATTTAACTTTTGGACTCATGGAATGACATCTTTCCCTTCTGGGTTATTACAGTACCTTACGCATTGCAGAACAAATGGCGTTGCTCCATGGGTTCACTGAGTTTGTCTCGCAGCTAATCGACCCCGCTCATGAACGTTTGGTGTGTGTATTTAACCGTGTCTGCTGCTCACCGTTCAACATGTTGCTCGGACAGCTGGGTGATAAACAATGCTATATGTCCGACCCATATGTAGTATGAGCATGTACAACAGCCACAAGGGCTCTATAATCTGTCAGCCGCACAGACGGGCAGATTGTTGATGCGAACAGACAGACAGAAAGGGAAGGCTGTCACTGTCAATTGAGTTAAAGGTAGTGAAAATCTTTCCTCCCGTGTCCCAGTGCTGTCGTTTTACCATTTCCTCCGATCGTTTGAAGTTCAGACCTTCCAGCACTCCTGAGATTATGCTGTTTTCTTTTCATTTGATGGGGTTTTGAAAGTTGGAATCATTACGCTTGAATGTCTAGGGATTCTTGTTTCATTTATCCTCTCAATCACGGAGCCCTTATCTTCCTGCCACGGAGTCTTGGATCTTTTAGTAGCTGAGATTCAGTGCAATTCATCTCTCTGTCTCTCTCTCTCTCTCTCTCTGTGTCTCCCTCTTCAACCCCTCTAAGGGACGCTGTACACGTGATAACTGTAAGTACCTGCATCCTCCGCCTCATCTCAAGACCCAGCTGGAGATAAACGGCAGGAACAACCTGATCCAGCAGAAGACCGCAGCCGCCATGCTGGCCCAGCAGATGCAGTTCATGCTGCCTGGAGCTCAGCTGCAGCCCATAGTGAGATCCGAATTTAATAACCAATAACATCACCACCGTTTCTCTTGGCTTGAAAGCATTGCTTTATTATCCCTTGTTGTCTTTGTGTCTCTCATCCAGACATCGTTCCCAGTAACGCCTTCCTTGGCCAACAGTCCGAGCATGGCTTTCAGCCCATACCTGAGCCACATGAGCCCAGGCATCAGTCTCATGCCCGAACTTCTGCCCAGCGCCCCCGTGCTGGTCCCGGGGAGCCCCACCGGCATCGCCATGGGCAACGGAAATTCAACGCAGAAACATGTTCGCACAGACAAGCTTGAGGTGTCAAAACAACTTGCTTTGTCTCTTGTAATATCTCTATAACGGTTGCTAAATGTGTATTCGGCATGCAACTCATTCTAAACCATTTGTGTTACAAACTTAAAAAACATGTCAAAATGTGTGCTGTCACTTTTCTAAAGGTTGGAATACACTACGTGACTTTTAGAATCAGAACAGATTTTTTTAAAACACTAGGCATCACATACTTGCCGACTTTGTTAGTGTTTCAGTCAGGACTACTTCGTCAAAGTATATTTATTACAGTTATATAGCATACAGTTAGTGTTGACGGTATGGTTCTGTTCTGGGCAAAACTCCCCACGCCTGTCCATGCAGCCATGCTTGGACAGAGTGGGGAGAGCAGCAAGTCAAACCCCCCTGGGGTACAGAACAGATCATAATTACAAATCACAATTTACATGAGTTGTAGAAAATACAAACTACATGATACAGAATGCTTGCAATATAGTGAACTGTTATACGAAAAAAAAAATTCAGATTAGATTACAGGTTCAGTTAGGTGGAGTTGGGGTTGGAGGAGGGAGTTTGATATGCGAGCAGCGATGCAATAGAAGAGATGCTGAAGAATTTAAATGGACCGCTGTGATAAGTGTCAAAACTGGATTGGCCTGAACTAAGGCGATGCTTGATTTTCAGAGAAAAACTAGACACTGTACACTAAACGACTGAGGATCACAGACTAACAAACAACAAACTCATGCAGAAACATGCGCCTCATTGTTAGGAGACACATGACAGATGAAATTAGTATGTGTTTTAAAATCAGCTCATAATATCAAACGTGTTTGATATCCTCAAACTGAATGGAAACATCGTCTGAAGCTAAAAGAAATCTGTGTGTCAAACAGCGCAATTTTGTGTGAAATCTGTCATCCGACTGCCCGAAATCTGCAGTGTGGCTCTGACTTTTGGCATCTATCGCTGACTCTTCCAGACTGCCAATCAGGGCAAAAATCTGTGTGAAAGTCATGAAGTGTATTCCAGCTTTTAGTCATTAGACTTCAGACCATATTTAGCCCATGTTTGGCCATAAAACAAACGTAAATGGTGAACCAATCCTGAGTAATCATGTACTAAATTATACCTAAATATATACCTAAATTAAATATTACTTTAATATAAACTATTGATGAGTTAAGGCATGTACTCAAGAACTATTCTTAACTATTCTTAACTATTCTTAACTAGTCATATGAATTCATGTGCCCAAAGTGTTAGTTAATACATTAACAAATATGTGGTCATTGTTCACACATGAATTCCAATGACTCATGTCGTAGTTACGATTAATTCTTGATATTTAATTTAGGTATTAGTACTTGATTATTTATGTACTGTTATTGTAAAGTGTTACCAAATGAGTGTTACCAATGAGTCAAAAATACAGGCTAGAATGTGATACAGACTTAGGGCTGGGCGTATTTTGACCTGGGCTAATGAGTAAACACCTAACAACCAGCCAAAACACCATAGCAACTACAAAGTAACATGCTAAAAGAATCTTTAACACTAATAGAAGCATCCTGGCAACCAGTGACAACATAGAATTGGGCAAAGGCCACACATCTTTTATCAAATGTAAAAATCTAGTTTATAACGCTATTGTGTCATGATAAGAATTGAAATGACTGTCACAAAGCGTGCTTTTTAACGTGACTAATGGGTGATAGTAAATCTCTGTTGTCCTGCTCCCAGGTGTGTCGAGAATTCCAGCGGGGAAACTGCACACGCGGGGAGAACGACTGCCGCTATGCCCACCCAATGGAAGCCGCCATGGTGGACGGCAGCGAGAACTCCGTCATTGTTTGCATGGATTATATTAAGGGCCGATGCACCCGTGACAAATGCAAGTACTTTCCCCCTCCGGCTCACTTACAGGCCCGGATAAAGGCGGCGCAGCACCAAGCCAGCCAGAATGCTGCTGCCATGGTGAGTTACAGAGACGATCCCATTACAATGACATCACAAGCACTAATTCCCATAATTATGACAATCACACATCACAGTACAGAAGATAATGCTCTGTGGAAAAATGCCTTCTGTAAAGACTATATGGCAACACCATGGACTAGTTGTCATATGGATAATTAAGCTACATAATTAGTGAAAATTTTTTTATTTTATTCATCCATATAAAATAAAATTCTGTTATTTACAAATATCATATATAAAAGTCATTGCTAATAACTGAATTATTTAAATAACTTCTGACCATTTATTAAAAGCAGCTTGTTGTGGCATAAATCAAACTGAATCAAAACATGTAAAACTCGTAAACTCAAGCCACTTTGTTTTAATATAAGGAATGAATGTTAAAATGAATAAAGAGTGAGTGAATAATTTATTCATTATTAATGACATTCATTATTAATAACATTCATGATTACCATTCGTTATTCAATGATATTGCATCACACCATTCAAAGGTTTGGGGTCGGTAAGGGTTTTTTGTGTTTTTGAGAGTCTCTGCCGCTCACCTAGACTGCGTTTATAGAAAAACAGTAATATTATGGAAATGTTATTACAACTGACAATAATGTGAATATATTTTGAAATGTAGTTTCTTTCTGTGATGGTAATGCATTTTCAGCATCATTACTCCAGTCTTCGGTGTCACATGATCCCAGTCTAATATTCCGATTCACTCAAGAAACATTTTTTATCAACATTGCTGAAAACATTGTTGTGCTGCTTGATATTTTTGTGAAAACCATGACACATTTTTTCTGAATTCTTTGATAAATAGCTAGAGTTCAAAAGCATCTATTTGAAATAGAAATCTTTGTTAACATTATAAATGTCTTTACTCTCATTTATGATCAATTTAAGGCATGAATGCTTAATAAAAGTATGAAAAAAAAAAAAACGTACTGACCCCCAAATTTTGAACGGTAGTGTATGCATCATTAGATATCTATGGATTGTATTAGTTTGATTTTAATTTATTTCATTTTAACTTCTCACTGTTGCATCAGCTTATGCAGCTTATAATCATAAACACTGAATTCAATTACTTGTGATGTTAAAATTTGTTTTCAAACTCACAAGTCTCACAAACAAAGACCACAATGCACTATGTGTTATGTAGTAAGTTACGTCACTGCACCATTTTGGTGGAAAATGAAGTATAGGTAAATTTTTTTGTAATATGTAATTTATCACATCTCATGTCACACTGGGCATCTGGTTTTATCCAAGGCAGCTTTCACTACACATATTACAGGAACAGTGCCACTGGAGTAATCTAGAGTTAAGTGACCAGCAGCCTTAGTTTTTGCCAGGATGCCATTTTCAGTAAGCTTTACTAGTGTCAGATGAAGGTGTGTGTATTTATAACTCACTTTCCACACACCTTCAATGTGAGGTTCAGGAGTTTATTAAATAATTCAGATCCCCCGCAGGAGGGTGTGTGTGTGTGTGTGTCTGCAGGCGAGCTCTTTGTCTCCTGTGTGATGCATGAAGACCTGGGCTCAGTGATCGGTTGCAAACGGTGTCTGCAGTGCAGGTGCAGGAGAGATAAACGATAAGAAAGGAAAAACCAAGCGATTCATTCCAACAGAAACCTCCACTAGTTAGCAGCCTCTCACCCGAGAGTCTACTGCAGACAATTTCTCTTTAATAATGTGTCATTTTTATCCTAGTCTCCCAAGTCTTATCATGTAACATTTCTACAAAGGTTTATTTACAGTGCACAGATGTGGGGACGTTATCCAAAAATCCTCCTCTGCTTCCTGCAGTCACCTGGTCTGCCTGAGGCTTTATCATATGTTGGCTTTATTTGACTCCCTCTCGGTTCATGCTGTCATTCTTTTTGAACACTGCTTGATTGTCTTTACATCCTCACAGCTCTCTTTGTTGTCCTACAAGCTTATTACCCAGCTTTCTCTCTAACCTTAACTATATATATGATTATATATTGGCAGCAGTGTTGGGGAAAGTTACTTTTTAAAAGTAATGCATTACAATATTGCGCTACTTCTTAAAAAGTAACTAATTGCGTTACTTAGTTACTCTTTATGGAAAGTAATGCGTTACTTTTTGTCACCAGGGCTGGGCTTGCTTACTTGTTTCTTAATAACAAAATACCCAAAAGTTATATTTTTGGCAACTGTAAAGACCCTTTTACACCAAAAGTGAAATTAATAAGCCTCACGCTGAAGGAAGTGCCTCTGCACCTCACTCACAATTTCACTGCAGGAGAGGTGTCAGTAAATAAATTGTAAAACAAAGTAACTTATTTGAAAAAGTAATTTAGATATTTCATTGTAAATTTAAAAGTAATGTGCTACTTTACTAGTTACTTGAAAAAAGTAGTAATTCACGGTAGTTGTGATGCATTACCCCCAACACTGTTTGGTAGTATGTACACTCGGTACTGTTTAAAAGTTTGAACTTCACACACACACACGTCTGGTTCACTATCCTTGTGTGGACTCCCCATAGGCGTAATTGTTTTTATACTGTACAAATTGTATTTTCTATCGCCCTACACCTAAACCTACCCCTCACGGAAAACTTTCTGCATTTTTACAATCTCAAAAAAAAACTAATTCGTCTCGTGTTTATGTCTACTGTCGTTGATTGGTTTGCCATCGTCATGTGGTCACTGCTCGCTTACCCAGCCCTCAGTGCGTCCTCTGAAGCGCAGCCTGCAACCAACTTTCAATCTGGTACATTCATCTTACACCCATTTTTGTGTCTTTTTTAATATTGTTTGCCGATTTGTTCATTTCTAATAGCTCATTTGCATATAGTTTATGTTTTGGGTGAAAGTGTTAGTGCTGCAAGAAACCAGCCACAATTTCTGTGTAAACTAATCACCGTCTTAGAAGTGAAATGACACTTGAATAAATTTGTAGTCTGGGTTCTAGAAGTATTTTCTCCACAGGAACTTAAGAAACTTTGAACCAAACCAACTAGCTCAGAGAGGAATCGCTATCATTTGATTACATTTTGAAAATCAGAAAAAAGACAGACGCAAGAATGTATTTAAAATCTTTAATAAAGATGCAAAATAAGTTTATATGAGTACCATATTGGCTGTCATCCAATAATAGTTCTTTATGTATTAGTTAATATTGGATATTTAATTGTTCATGCTCATTTCTTCTATTTTTACATTTAGATGACCATAAGCTTCATCTAACACTTAAAATTAACACTGTTAAATGTAATCTTTAGCAAATTTCAAAATAAATATTAATTTTAATACTGTACTTTATAATGTGATGCAAATTCAAATTGTAGCATTTAAAATGATTGATTTTAGTTATTAATATTTATTTTTAATTTATTTAGAAAATAGTTTTCAGCTCATAAGTATTGGCCAGAAATGTCATATCCAGTCTTGTTTTTAATGAGAGATTAATTAATACTCATCCCATTATTTACTGGGAAAGGATGATTTCTTTGAAAATGAATAACCTGTCATCATTTACTCAGCCTCATGTCATTCCAAACCTTTATTTCTTCTGTGGAACAGAATGTTGGTGACCATTGACTTTCATTGTATGCACAAAAAACACTTGGGACATTTCTCAAAAAATGCTCCACAGACGAAGGAAAGCCATTTAGGTTTGGAATGACATGAGGGTGAGTGATTGATGAACTTTTTAATGCATTTTCTAATTAGAAAACATGTTTTCCGCTCTTACACTACAACATCTATTAATAACTAACAAGGTAAGGCTAGGTAGGCTATGTAATAATATAGATACAAAAAAAAAAATTGTTTTTATACTGTACAAATTGTATTTTCTATCGCCCTACACCTAAACCTACCCCTCACGGAAAACTTTCTGCATTTTTACAATCTCAAAAAAAAACTCATTCGGATTGATTTATAAGCTTCTGTACCCATGGGGACCTCAATTTATGTCCCCACAGTGACACAAGTCCCTATGAGTTGGTGTGTATTCAGGTTTAAGTCCCCACCAGTATAGAAAAACATGTACACACATACACGCACACACACATACGTATATGATAAAAAAAATTATTTATACGTTTTTCTGATGCATCCTAAAAAAAGTAGTCAAATACATCTCCATCAGTGTTTTGATAATGTTTTATTATTTTATTTATAAAACACGATTTGCAACATTTACAATGACAAATACACAGTATGTCAGATGTATTTTCATGAATGGACAGGAACACACACACAGTACAATATTTCCTGTAGCTCAGTATCATGGCTATCTTTTATGTCTTCCTCTGCCCACCATCTTTCTTTTTCTTTTTGTTTTTTCCTCTTTCTTCTTTGTCATCCCGATCACTTTAGGCTCTGCCACCAGGAGCCATGCAGCAGCTACCAAAGAGACCGACCCTGGAGAAGACTAACGGCGCGGCTGCCGTCTTCAACCCCAGCATGTTCCACTACCAGCAGGCTTTGGCCAGATACAAAAAAAAAATCATGTTGTGGAGTTTGCAGTTCTCATTGCCATGGAAACAACCTTCAGATTGGTGAATCTCACTATGGAATTGTGGGTAGTGCCATACCTCATCTGTAATTAATTTGGCAGTTAAGCAATTGTTTTCAGTGAAGTTTAAATCACTGGCTTATGCAATCTACAGAAATACATCAACCTCTTAATAACCTTAGAGCTCATAGGTGGTCTTTCTTAAAAGGTTTATGCATTATTGTTTAATATCAGATCTGGATTGAGATTTTTACTTCAGGAACCGACTGTTGAGGTCTATACAGTACAGCACATTATTATTGGGTTTTGGGATTGAGTTTACGCACCAAAGAGACCGACCCTGGAGAAGACTAACGGCGCGGCTGCCGTCTTCAACCCCAGCATGTTCCACTACCAGCAGGCTTTGGCCAGCATGCAGCTGCAGCAGCCAGCGTTCATTCCCACAGGTGAGCTCACGCAGACAGATGATTCCCCCTGAGCTGCGGTCTAATATCACCATATTCCTGTAATAGTTTGGCTTGCATACATACAGCACTTTAAAGACAAAGTGCCTGGCTAGACGAGGACTTGGGCACTTTTCTGCTTATGTAAATCATGAGGTCGGACTGCTCCCCCATCATCCCTCGGTTAGTGAATCACAGATATCCTCTTTCCTGCTGACCTTGCTCTTATGTTGCATATCAGTCTTCAGACAGAATTACACAGTGGAAGACAGCCGAACATCCTCCTCTTTATGCCTTCATCTAGACTGAGCATTCTGTGCTTAATTATCAGAGGCAGATAAGGACACCTCACCTCAATTTCTCTTTCTGATATCGCTCTTCCTCATGCAAAGCTGCATGTGTCTGACGCCGCTTTTAGAAAAATGGAGAAGCAGACCCAAATATTTGCCAGAGAAGCACAGCATACCATTAAATACATATTCACTTTGCGTTGAAACTACAGTCAACAAGATTCAGTTTGGACTGTTTATTTTATTTTGATAGAATAGGAGTTGATGAGTATACAAGAGATCAGCACTAGCTGAGGAAATCTGTGTAATTAAACTTTAAATACGGTTAAATAATCCTAGTCACAATTACATTTCTAAGAAAATATATACACACTACATTTCTAAGAGAAATTGAAATATCGTTACACTTCATATAGCTGTTTTCTATTTGCATATATTTTAAAATGTGATTTATTCCTGAATTTTCAGCGGACATTACATCAGTCACATGATCCCTCAGAAGACAGATGATTCCCCCTGAGCTGTGCTCTAATATCACCATATTCCTGTAATAGTTTGGCTTGCATACATACAGCACTTTAAAGACAAAGTGCCTGGCTAGACGAGGACTTGGGCACTTTTCTGCTTGCCATCTCTCTCCCTGTAGGCTCTCTTTATCTCATAGTAGTCCACCCTATGCACAGGCCAGCATGCAGCTGCAGCAGCCAGCGTTCATTCCCACAGGTGAGCTCACGCAGACAGATGATTCCCCCTGAGCTGCGGTCTAATATCACCATATTCCTGTAATAGTTTGGCTTGCATACATACAGCAATTTAAAGACAAAGTGCCTGGCTAGACGAGGACATGGGCACTTTTCTGCTTGCCATCTCTCTCCCTGTAGGCTCACTTGCTCTCTTTATCTCATAGTAGTCCACCCTATGCACATGTCATGCTAATTAGTCCCATGATGCATACAGTCTTGCGTCTCCTCATGCACCTGCACCTGAGCAATAGCTACTCTTTTTCTGATGCTGCACTGCACTATGTTCACTATTCTCACATAATCAGTAAAAAAGCTAGACTGTATTTTGCCTAAATGACTGTAGCAGCGACCCTTCGGCCTTAAAAAGAGGATAGTTGCAGTACGTTTGCCACCCAGTTTTAAAGACCCGGTGAAATCAAAGTAGGAGCTCTGTGGCTTTTAATCCAAGTCTATAGAGTGCTGCAGTGATTGACATATTCATATTTATGTAGGTCAACCTGTAAATTAGCATCACCCTGGTTCCCTTGACACAAGCTCAATAGGATTTTTCAATTGGTTTTGGAATATTGCAGAAAGTAAGCTCTGTGACCAACAATGGTATAGGATCCTTGTTCATCATGATAATCGTAAGAAATGAACACAGCTTTTATGAATTTTGACGTGTAAATACAATCACCAGAACTGAAAAGCTAAACATATGCTATAAAAGAACTGCATCACAGTCACATGACTTCAATGTCACTACCATTAAGCTTAAGGTTGAATAGCTACCATGTGCGTGATTATTAACAAAGTCTGGTTGTAAAAGCAGATTAGTGAGTAGATGATTTTACCTGTTCGGTGTGATGACGTTTAATGTCCCAAACAACCTCTGTATTAAAAGCTGTAGGAAAGTAAAAGCTTTAAATAAAGCACAAGGGGCTTTATCCGACATATTGTATGTCATAGAATAAAACTTAAAATATCTTGAGCTTGTGTTAATCACAGACCTTATTTAACAAAAAACTCAAATAAAAAAAAAACTAACAAAAAAAAAACATTAAATTCAGGATGGTGGAACTGGATGTGCTAAAATGCTAAGTAGTTTCTGGGTTTTGGCCTACAAAAATATGTCATCCCTGCAGCACTCGATTACTTTTAAGACTAGCTACATGCTAGTGCTTCCTATAAGATGACAAAACTAACAGATATATGCTTTTAAAATGAACAGTCTGTGAAAATGAAAAAAAAAATGTGATGACTCATTTTGTACTACACAGTTTTTGTTTCCAATAAGATGCTCCCTAGACTGAAAATATTCCTCTAATTCCACCTGCCATTGACTAACATTACAGTGTAGCAAATAATGTTTCACAGCTGTGACGTAAACTACGTTATATTGGCAGTATAAAAAATACCCCACCCAAACATTTTGTTTCAGTAGCAAATACATCAACACAGGAAAGAAAACCTCCATTTCATGAGTCTTTATAGGCAACATGAAATCAAAATAGGCCCTTTTAACTTTTTTTAAATAAAGGTTTTGTGCTTGATTATGCAGTGCATGTTATTTTCAAGCAAGAAAATAGTTTTCTCTGCTTGTAAAATTGCTTTTTACTATTAACATAACAGTAGCTGTATCATAGCCTAACTAATACATTTTTGCCCCTTCCTAATTCAATCAAACCCTGGTGGATGAAATGAAGCCCAATCCTAGATTTTATCCTGCTGAATTTTCTGTTTAACTACAATATAAGGCACATTTCGAAATGTAAATGTGTTGTGAATGCTGTTGCAAAAATCAAGCCGAACTTGTTAGCATTAGGCTCAGATGACAAGACAAGAAAGCGTATCAGCACAACAACAAATTGGCATCCAGGTTAACATCCCCTTCCTGATGAGGACCTTTCCACCAGCGTGATTCATTTCCTCTTGGTTTCTCCCTGCTTTGTGTCCTTGTCTCCATCTCGCCACCATGTTGCCCATAATGACGGTCATCGCTCTTTTGCTGTGTGTCACTAACTCTAAAGTTGTTTTGTCTTGTTCTCATTCTGCTTTCACTCCTCCTTCTCCACATCTCTTCCACTCCTCCATCCTCCTCGGTCTCTCTTCTCCTGGGCTCTTTGTGCATGGTGTTGTAGGCTCCGTATTCTGCATGGCTCCATCTGGAGGCATTGGTAGGTCACTTCCCAGTCTTTCTGGATCAGCGGTTACCTTACAGCAACATCTCAGATATGTGACAGACAGGAAGGTGATCCACGATATTAACTCCCAGCAGCCCCAGCCGTGTATCATGGGGTGTTTCTTCAGCTGTGGACACTTTTGTTTTGTTTAGATTTTTGTTTTGGTTAAGTTTGGCTTTTCTTTGGTTTGGTTTGGTGTATTGTTTGGTTTGGTGTTTTGTTTTGGTTTGGTTTAGGTTGGTTTTTCTTTGGTTTGGTGGTTTGTTTTGGTTTGATTTGGTTTAGGTTGGGTTTTCTTTGGTTTGGTGTTTTGTTTTGTTTTGTTTTTTGTTTAAACTTACCATCCCTTCATTTTTTTCATGTTTTGTTTTGATTTTTGTTTTGTTTGATTGTTTGGTTTGGTTTGGTTTAGTTTAGTTTGGTTTTTCTTTGGTTTGGTGTTTTGTGTTGTTTTGTTTTGTTTTTGTTAAAACTTACCATCCCTTAATTTTTGCTACTTTTCACATGTCTATTCTACAGGTCTAGATTTCATTGTTTTACATTTGTCCCAGACCCAGACATTCAATCCAAAACATGACATTTCATCATAAAATGAAAAAATATGAATTATTACATTTCACAATTATGGTTAATCTAAACAAAGAAATCCTATTATAAACCTTTATAAATATATTACCATAAACCATTTCCATTTCAATTCTAAATAATTGTGGAAATAATTATGAATCATTAACACATTACGACTGCATGGTTTACAGCTACTAATTAAATAAATAAAAGTAAGAAATAATAAAAATGTAATCAAGTTCCAGACCCAGACATTCAATCCAAAACATGACATTTCATCATAAAATGAAAAAATATGAATTATTACATTTCACAATTATGGTTAATCTAAACAAAGAAATCCTATTATAAACCTTTATAAATATATTACCATAAACCATTTCCATTTCAATTCTAAATAATTGTGGAAATAATTATGAATCATTAACACATTATGACTGCATGGTTTACAGCTACTAATTAAATAAAAGTAAGAAATAATAAAAATGTAATCAAGTTAAATATCTCTTTTGAACAGAATATTTTTATTGTGTGGCATTTTTTAGTCTAGCTGCTGTTTTTTTTAAATTATGCAATTAAATGCCAGCTGTAAAATTAACCTTAGCAAGACAAAGGCTTTGGCCACTTTATTTAAAAAATGTTTTAACGTTTTATTTCCACCAAACAATGCAATTAAACACATTATGTAATTTGGGATATGATGGAAATGCTCATGACTTTGAGGATAAAAAGACAAAAAAAACCGATGATGATTATGACATAAATATTTAAATATCATAAACTGTTTTCATTTTCATTATTAATCAGATTATTTTTTAATTATTAATCCAAAAAATATATATCACTTGTGAAGAGAATATTTTTGTGACTCTTTTTTGTGGTATATATAGTCTTGCAATTCATTTCTGTCATCTTCATTTTTTACCAAAGAATACTGTTAAACACATTGTTTGGGATGTGATGGAAATGCTCATGACTTCCAGGAGAAAGGACAAAAAAGTGCTCATAGTCAAAGAAACACCTTATAACATCAATACAAGACATATTTAATGTTCAGTATTGAAAATGACAAGGACAGCTTAACATGTGCACCTTACACAGTCATTTTCCTCATTAGGTCTCAAACTAGAATCCCAAACCTGTCCTGTCTGTCACTGCGTTTACACCCAACCTGTCTGCTTTCACCGCTTCTTATCATTTGTTCGTTATTTCGGCTTGTCGTATGCGTTTGTGCATGCATGTGTGCGTGTGATTTTGTGTGCAGCTGACGGCACAGTGCGGGCACAAACAAGCAAGGCCAAAAGCCTTCAGAGAGACTCATTAAGACTGGTTCCTTTTTCTTTGTGCCCTTTCCTCCTCATCCTCTCCTTTCCCTCACTCCCTAAAATCTATTATAGGCCTTTTCAAACCCCCAGGCCTAATGACAGATGGCCGCTGGGAGAGGCGGGACTGGACCAGCTGCAGGGCCCCCCAAAGCCGTTACCTGTTAGGGCCTGGATATACTGGTGAGGGTAGAGTCTAGGTCCCCTCCCCTCACAAACACACACACACTCACCATTTACCTGTTTAGAAAGGTAGAAATCACCCCTCAAGTTTCTGCTCACTTTTAATGTTAATATTCCCAAACTAAGTTTAGCAGAAATGCAGTTGCACACACATTTCAATGCCCATAGACGAACAGCGATCTTTTTTTTTTTTAGCTAGCCAAGTTAAATTTGTCCTTAACAGTCATTTAGCTGGGTAACAATCCGATCAAAACACTAGATCTGTGCTGAACCAGTGAGTGTGCAAGTGTGTGCCTGTGCGCATGTCTGTATTTTTTATTTTTATGACATTATTTGACATCTGTGATGCACTTGCTGTGTACATACCATTCTGTGTTCATTTGCAGTTTTCCCTATAATATGACCTTTATCTCTTAATCTTTAGCTGGTTTTATTAGATTAAATTCTTAATTCATATTTACAGGTGTTTTAGAATGATTATGTCATTCATTATCAGGTTAACTCAAAACCAAAGGAGTAAAGTGTCATATTATTATAAGGCAATATTTGAATGGGAATTAACTGCATATTTACATTCCCCTTCTTTTCCCCTAATGTATATTTATCCATTCTGCGGCCCCCATCAAAATATGACAGTCAGACGATCCTGTCTGTTCCAAATGTGTGTGATTTTGATGACGGCCATGTTTTTATTTTACCCTTAATAGTTTTATCTAAATGTAATGGTGATCGGATAAAACTCTCTAAGCTAAAACGTAATGCAACAAAATGTTTTTAAGTTCTGTTTGCATGTTTGTTCTTAAGTGAATACATCATCTTTGCAGTACATGAAGACGTAGTTGCCATGACTCAGCCTGTTCCTCTGGCATATTATGTCATGGTACTCATAACATTCCTCCTCCCCTCCACCTTCCCCCTTCCCTTGTTTCTTGTCTGACTCGCCTGAAAAAAGTTCCCATGATGCACGGTGCCACCACTTCCACTGTTTCGTCGGCTACGACCCCAGTCACCAATGTTCCTTTTGCTGAATCAGCCAACTCCAACCAGGTTTGCCCCTTCATTTTGGCCTCTCGTTTTTACAGCTGTAAGGCATCCGACTCTGGTCCATAGACAATAATTCTTTTGTTTATATATACGAAAAACTGTTGATGCAAAAATGTTAATGCAACTGATTCCAAATGGCAGAACATGACGACCTTGAGTCATTGAGTTCTCTATGGACCAGTGAGGAGCCCCTTTACCTCTTTAGCACAATGTCCCAGTTCCACCATGTGTCTGTGTGTGTGTTCACATCTCTGTCGGTCTGTTTCAGTGTCTTCACTGTGTTAGAGAGCAAACAGCTACATTTAAAGCAACAGTTCACCCAAAAATGAAATTTCTGTCATTAATTACTTACCCTCGTGTCGTTCCATACCTGTATGCTGTTATTTTTTTCCATGGAACACAACATTAGACATTAATAATGAATCATTAGCCAGCTCTTTCCATACAACAACAGGTTATAGTGACCACATTAAGGAAAAAACAAAAAACAACAACAACAAAAGGCACTTTATAAGTAGCCTGTACAATTTTATTCCAAGTCTTCTGAAGTTAAATGATAGTTTATGATAAGATAGTCAGTTCTTTTCAATGAACTGTTTGATTAGATTCCCAGATGACTTAAATTATTGTTTTGAATGTATTTATTTATTTTTTAATGAATGAGTTGAATGATTGATTCATGAATTGAACTGATTCGATTCTCAAGTTCAATTCAACTGGTATGGATTTAATTTATCATTTTGGTGTTAGTTTGGGGTTTTTTCTGTCATTTTTGAAGATTAACAGATGTAGTCATTATGACCTGTTTTTGTATAAAATAAGCGGTGCAATGATACTTTAAAAAAATACAGCTTTTTGCGCTCCACTGAAGAATGCAAATTTGGAACAACATGAGGGCAAGTTAATGATGACGGAATTTTCATTTTTGAACAAATTATCTCCTTAAGTGCTAAAGCTCAAAGGTTTATTGTCTTTTCTTCCCCCTTCACCGTGTTTTAAGAATTTTGCACTGGAGCAAGTTGTTTCTGTGGCTCACATTAGAGTGAGATGGTATATGTGTCCTCTGCGTTTTTCTGTGAATAGGATGTGGGTGTCTGTTTTTAGATGACAGTTCTCTGAATTTTTGTTTGTCCTTTCTTCATTGTTTGAATTCAGAGTATATAATGTGAGGAAACTGAGTTCACCATTTAGGCTGTTTAGTTAATGTGTTCTGTAGAATCATAGGCGAGCAACAAGCTTGACCAGGTCAAACTTTTTGCAGAAAGGACATGTTTTGCTTGCCTTTTCATTTCTTAAAAAGCTACATTGTGGATTGTTTACAGGGTTCCTACACAGTATGTTGTTTAGTCATTTCCACATCTGGATATGTATGAAAAAAAAGAAAATAGTGTATTGAAAAAGTTTGTGTTTCCAGACTATTGCCCCATTCTGTTTTTCATGAATGTGTGAAAGCGTGTCAAACATTATCCTATATTTTTAGCTCAGCAGAATTATGAATATTTATACTCACCGATGCCCCTGTGCTTGGCATATTTGTGAGCATCAAAGGTTTCTATTTACAATGTGTTTTTGAAGCGTTGAGCATTGTAGCGAATCACAGCCATGTCTGTTGAGTATATGAACACAATGGCCAGACATATATTTAAGTTAAGAATCTGCTAAATATTGCTCAAAACGCTCAAGTATTTATTCAGCGCACGCTTTAAAGTTCACAAATCCTTTCATTATAACCAACATCATCGTTTTATTTTTCATGCTCAATTGGAAAAAAGTTTTATTTTTTCATTGCTGCTAAGTACACACTGCAAATTTCCGTAATCATATTTAAATGCGGGATTGAATCCGAAATTGCGACGCTTGTCACATTGATAACCATACCAGCGGATGGGACAAAAAAATCTGAAAAAATTATCTTGAAGTGTAAATAAAGACTATTAGACTTGTCCCTTGTTCTATATAATGAGTTTTTACTTGACGTTTTTAAAGCAATGTTTACTTAATTGAAAAACATTAGAATAATACATTAAAACATTGAGTTTTAATGTGTTATTTACTTATTATTAGCATTAATAAATAACTCATTTAATTTATTTAATATTTGTAATTTTTGAATAGTTAAATAATATAGTTAGGTAGTTCCAGTAGTTTTTGCTATGGTACCGAGAACCAGGACATTTTACTGATATTGGTACCGACTAGGGTTGTAACAGTATGAGATTTTCACGGTATGATAATCGTCTCAGAAAGTGTCACGGTTTTCACGGTATATATTAAACAATAATTCTTATCAGTAACAATGACTCTTAAAAGAATAAGAACAAGTTATTTGAGTGAACAAATCCTTTATTACAACAAACTTGAAACCATTTTAATGAAAGTATTGAACTCTCCCTTCTGAAAAAATTAATTAATTAATTAATTTTAAAAAAAACAATAAAAAAAATAAAGCTGTACACCTTATGTATATCTATATCACACTTTAACATTTTAATTAATGTTTTTAAATGAAAATTTACAACTCCTTTTATTTTTGGCAAAGTTAAAACATGGACAAACATGATATTTCTTGAAAACAATGTTTAAATCAATTATTTTATTATAAAGAATATTATTGTTGTTATTATAACTTTGAAGTACGTTGTACAATGCTAATATATTTCTGTCATAATTTCAAATTAAATTGAACGTTTATTTTGATGGGTTGTAGCGGACCTTTAGTTTCAGTGTATTTGACAATGATTTTTCTCAAATAAAACTAGGAAATGTTTATTTACATTTTCTCTCAGAGCAGCTCTGCTGATGTTCATGTTTATGTATCTTAGACGCTGACAACACCATTTATGTATGCGTACTTCAGTATGCAGTAGATAAAACGGCGCCACTCAGAGACATGCAGAAACAAGCAGATTATTCATATAGCAGTCTCTTTGCGCTTTAATATTCACAGACACATATCATAACTACTTTTGA